TGTGGGGGTGTGAGTGTGTGGGGGGGTGTGTGTGTGTGTGTGTGTAGGTGCACATGGGTGTGCAGGTCAGAGACTGACAGCACTGTTTTCATCAATTTCTTCTCCACCTTTTTTGGACAGGGAGCTCACTGAACCTGGAGCTCACTGATTGGGCAGCCTAGGGCTGGGCAACAAGCCCCAGAAATCCTCCTGTCTCTTCCCTCTCTTGCCCCTAACTCTACCCCAGTGCTGGGATTATAAGTCTTCATGCTTGTGTAGTGAGCACTTGACCAACTGAGTCATCTCCCCCCAGCTCCCAAGATTCCCCTTCTACCAGCATTCCACCTGTAGTGGCTTGAATGATGAGGTCTCCCAAAGGACACCCACAGTCCCCGGGTGATGGCACTGTTTGAGGATGAAGTATGTCGCTGTGAAGGGCTTGGAGGATGTACAGACTCATGCCATTTCCAGGTCACTCCCTGCGTCCTGCTTGCAGTCCAAGATGTGAGCGCTCCACTTCCTGTCTCGGCTGCCGTGCCTGCCTCCAGCTATCCCCATTATACTACCGTGGACTCTAACCCTGTAGACGGTACGCCAAAATAAACTCTTTGACCGTGACCATGATCTTGGTGCTTTAGCCAAGCAATTAAAAGAGTAACTAATCCGTCCGCTGCAGCTTGAAAACAACTTGGGTAACACTAGGCCAAGTGTCTACCTAAATACACCACCCAACAGCTTCCTCCCTGCGGTCATCTAAGGCTCTCTGGAACCTTGTAAGCCTAGGAAATGTAGAAGCTTCATTGTGTGCTTGTTTTTATTTTCACAAGGGTTAAGAGTAAACCAAACAGAAAGAAGGAAATACCAAAAAATACATCTCCTGATGTTTCGAATATGGCGATAATATTCAGAGGCATAAATTTTGTGTGTGAATCTAGACACTTGAAATGAAGTCACTGTAGAAGACTTATAATATGAAAAAATAAACTAAGAATAAGATTGAAGTGTGACTTCTCTTAGTTAGTGACAAGCTGAACCAACTTCCTTTACTGTAAAATCTATAGGTTTCTACAAGCTACCAAGAAATAATTCACAGTGACATCTACAAAGTTGAAGCCTTTGGAAGTTTCAAGTTTTAAACTATAATCAGCCTTGATTTCCACCTTAGAAATGTACACAGGGAGCCAGTAGTAAAGGTAGCCATCTATCTGGTCAAAAATCAAAATCGCTTTGGCTCTTGGGTGAATCCGGGCAGAGAAATCTGAAACACAATTAGTAACTGGCGGTTGATATTGGTCATAAACTTATCTAGACTCTCCTAGGAAACAAACCTGTGGACACGTCCGTGAGAGAGTTCTAGTTTGGGTTAATGAGGTGGAAAGACGCCCCTCACCCCACCCCACCCCAATGTGGGCAGCATCACTCTATGGACTGAATAAAACAGACAAAGTGAGTTGAGACCCATTGATTCCCCGCTCTATATCCTTCTTACAGACAGTGAAGTAGCCGCCCCACTCTCCTGCCTCCATGAGCTCCTCACCCTCAAACTGTGAGCCAAAGTAAACCGCTCCTTCCATGTTCTTGTCTGGCATTCTATCATGTCCGTAGGACAAGAACCTAATACGGTAACTAACCATTGACCTTTCGTGACACCAGATGGAACGCACGTCTCTTTGATAAGCCTCACTTCCATTTTTCAGAATTATCCACAATTGTTTTGAGAGAAAACAATCCTTAAAATGTTCAGAAAGCACATGAAATGGAAACTTAATTCTAGGTTCAGTGCAATAAGTATATGGCTCTAAACACTTTGATGGATGTGTGTGTCTGTTTTCCATTGCTGTGGCAAAAAAAAATATCCAAGAAGATCAATTTGAAGAAAGAAAGGTTCGTTTTGACTCATGATGTCGGTGGTTTTGGTCCATGGTCATTTATCTCCATCAAATGGAGTGGAGCCTGGGTGAAGCACATGAGAATGGAGAGCATGCAGCTGAGCAAAAGCTACTTCCGCCACAGAAATCCTTATCTTTCTTAAAACTATAAACACTGTCGGGCTAAGGGTCATTCTGGAACTCACTCCCAGGACCCTGCATGCTGTCCTCTTTAGAAGAGGAGGTAAATGTATTAGTTACTTTCCTGTGGCTGTGATCAGACACCATGACCGAAGCAACTTTAAAAGAAAGTGTTTCATTTGGACTTATGGTTTCAGAGGGCTAGACTCCATGACGGCGGAGCAAAGCGGCGGCAACGGGAGTAGCCGAGGGCTCACGTCCGAATCAACAAGCAAGGAAGCCCAGAGCACACTGGAAATGTCTCCGGTCCTTTGAAACTTCGAAGCCACTCCCAGTGACACACTTCCTCCAACAAGGCCACGCCTCCTAATCCTTCCCAAAGGGTTCCACCAACTGTACAAGAGGAGTGCTGGTGTGCTGGCTAGTCGCATGTCAACGTGGCACACAAGCTAGAGTTATCTGAAAGGAGGGGACCTCAAAATTAAGGTGCCTCCATAACATTCAGCTGTAAGACATTTTCTTAATTAGTGATTGACAGGGGAAGGCCCAGCCCATTATGAGTGGTGCCATCCCCGGGCTCACGGTCCTGGGTTCTATAAGAGAGCAGGCTGAGCAAGTCAGGAGAAGCAAGTCAGTAAGCAGCATCCCTCCATGGCCTCTGCATCAGTTCCTGCCTTTAGGTTCCTGCCCTGTTTGACTTGCTGTCCTGACTTCCTTCGATGATGAACAGCAATGTGCAAGTGTAAGCCAAACAAGCCCTTTCCTCCCCGACTTGCTTTTGGGTCGTGGTGTTCCATCACAGCAATAGTGACCCCAAGTAGTACAGCTGGGGAGATGGCTGAGAGGGTCAAGTACTTGCTACACAGGCATGAGCACTTGGTTTCAGATCCCCAGAACCACATAAGAAGCCAGGTAGAGCAGTATGCCTCCAACCCCAGTCACTGGTGGGGCGGGCAGACACGGGTGGATCCAGCTGGCTTTCTGGGCAGCCCGTCTAGCAGAAACAGGGAGTTCCAGGTTCAGTGAGAAACTCTGTATCAAAAAAGAGGTGGAGAGCAATAGAGAAAAGACACCCAGCATTGATGTCTGACCCTCACACGCACAGGCACAGGAAAGCACATCTTGCATACATATGTGCATACGTAGACATGCACCATCCACACATGCACATAAAAATATCTGCCAAGTCATGGATCAGCATTCACTGTGCCTAATGAGAACCTACTGAGATGGCTTCCTCATTCTCACCTTCATTTGAGAGGGAGCATACCTATTCAAGAGCCATGATCTCACCAGCCTCAGAAATCCTGGCCAAGAGCCCCAGGGAGGGTGAGATTGTTACTTCGGGTATGGCAAGCCTTGGCCAGTGCAGGGCCTATAGGGACATGCTAGAGCTTGTCGTTAGAGGTAATGTAAAATGTGTTTAGAAGGAAAATCTTGACGTTGGAATCCAGCAAGCAAGGTCCCACAACCTCGGTTTTCTGTAACAGAGCAAAGTAATTTATTCTCTATGTAAAATAATCATCTGTTTTCTAAATCAGTGGTTCTTAAAATACGAGGTTGCACACCCAGAAGCACCATTATTACCTAGGAGCTAGTTAGAAATGCAGATTGCCTGCCCCACCCTCCACCTGCTGAAGCAGGAGTTCCAGGTGCAGGGCCCAGAAATCCTGTTAGAACAAGCCCTCCCAGGAATTCTGATGCGTGTAAGGTTTGACAAGCACAGCTAGATGTGGTCTGTGAACTTGGGCATTCAAATCCCCCAGGATCTTATCACATTTTCAGGCCCTAGACCAGACCTCTGGAACCAGAAACCCCACTGTAGCAATCCCTGAGTGATTTATATTAACATTTGAAAAGCACGCTCAAGGATGAAATTGAGAAAGTAAATCTGAATAATTAAATTAATATGGCATTCTCTTGTACCTCCCTTAGTGTGTGTGTTTGTGTGTGTGTGTACATGTATCTATGTGTGTTGTGTGTACCTGTGGGAATACATGCATGTGGAGGTCAGAGATCACAGTCAACATTCTGCTGTCTTCCTCAGTGGCTATCCACCTTTTTGTTTGTTTGGGTTTGGTTTTGTTTTGAAGCAGGGTTTCTCGCTGAACCCAGAACTCACAGCTCACTGACTGGCTAGAGTTAGTGGCCAGTGAATTCTAGGTATCTGCCTATTTCTACTCTCATGGTGTTAAGAGTTACAGACACAGGCTAGCATGCTGGCTGTTACGTGGGTACTGGGGATCTGACATCAGATGTTCATGTTCACTCTTTTCCAAGTGAGCTAGCACACATTTTCCTTATTTAATCTCCTCACTAACTCCGTAGATCAAGCCTGGTGGCAAACCCATCTTACCCATAAGATACAAGGAGGATAGATAGTTGACCGAATGCCACAAAGCCAGCAAACAGGGAAGCCAGGATTGGACTCAGGCAGTTTAAATCTGAAATGCAGGCTCTTAACCACCATCCACAACAAGTATTTCTGATTGTAATTACAGCAATCCCCCCCCACCCACACACACATAATACAGCCTCTCTAACAATTCATTCATAGTAACCAATTAAGCCTTTCCCTAAAACTGAAAGTAATGTATGCATGTGTTTTAGCTGAAAAAAAAAAACATTTATAGAGGTCTATTTTATGACAGCTCTGACCGGATGAAGCCTAGGTGCAAGGTTAATAAACACAGGTGTGCCAGAACTATTTTCTGAACCAGTGAGTAAGTGAATGATTTTATTATAATATGCTCAGTTATACAGGAGCAATAATAAGAAGCCTGTTTACATCCCGGGACCTCAGATGTTTCCTGCGCATATGAACACTGAGCTAAACCCAGGGAAAGAGAAAAAGTCAGTGAGTAAGTGAATGATTTTATTATAATATGCTCAGTATACAGGAGCAATAATAAGAAGCCTGTTTACATCCCGGGACCTCAGATGTTTCCTGCGCATATGAACACTGAGCTAAACCCAGGGAAAGAGAAAAAGTCAGTCCATAAAGAATGGAAAGATGGTGCCAGACATTCTGAAGAGCAAGAGCTTCATGTGAGGATGAACAGTCACTAGAGTACCCGGGAGGACTGCAGACTCGCATAGATGTATATGAGTATGCACAATGCATCTATACAAATAATTAAGAAATCAAGACTAGTCCTCCACAGCATCAGATCTTCATATTTAAACCATTCAGATTTAGATTACTTTCAAGTACATCCTGGTGAGTACTCCCGGGGATGGGTGGTAACTAAAGTCTTACTTCCCTTTCACACAGGGATAGAGACATGGGATCTGGCTTGTTAACAGTAGCTGCCTCACTAATGGTAAGGGAATTCAAAAGAGCCAGGAGAAATAGAGCATCTTCAGCCAAGAGCCTCCCTCAGCTTCAGGACCAGCTCTTGAAAGAGTCAGAGAAAATAAGGGCAGAAGGGATACATTTGAATGACATGGATTGTCTTTCTGACACCTAGTGATCCCCTAAAATGTCTGATATTGAGAATTCCTCATAAAGTGTCTTTCTTCTCCTCTTAGCTACATGTACGCCAGTGGGGACAGGAGATTTCGTTGAAATTTTTAATGAAGAATTATAAATTCCCCCACAATGACTTCCATATTCTCATACCTATATACATAAAAGGGAAAGATCCAGTTTCTCCTTTTTCTCCCAATGGCCTATATTTTGCTCCTCAAAAAAAATATAGAATTTAATGAATAAATGAAGTGACAGTATTTAGGGAGACTGAGTTTGTTATCTGCATCATCTCTTTAAGTCATGAAGTTGTTTCATTAAGAAAGAAACCAAACTTTTAAGGTTTTTGCTGTTGTTGTTGTTGTTGTTGTGTGTGTGTGTGTGTGTGTGTGTGTGTGTTCACATGCACTTATATCTGACTAAGTGTGCAAGTGGAAGACAACCTCTACTGTTGTTCCTCAAGTACCATCCACCTTTTTGTTTTTGAGGCAGGGTCTCTCACCTGCTTGAAACTTAGCAAGAAGGCTAGGGTTCCACTGGCCAGAAAGTCCCAGGGATCCACTGGTCTCCCCACTCCCCTGCTGGAATTACAAGATACCACACTCAGATTGGATTTTTTTAACATGTGTTCTGGGGATCAATTGCAGGTACTCTTGCTTGCTCGGTAAACACTCTTGAGAGAGTTGAGGGAACCATCTCAACCCTCCCCAGCAAACTCTTAAGTTCCTTACTAGGGTTCCCGTATTAAAGGTGTTTTCCTTGAAGTATTTTAAAAACATCAAATGGTTTCCAAGAAAACTGATTTCATTATGAACCCCAGTTCAGACTTGGAGGGCTTCTTTATCAATAAGATGTTCTAGAGTCTCTGGTGGAATGGAACCTGCGTCCCTTGGTTGGAAGTACAGAGACCAATGTTTCTTCTCTGTCTGGATGCCATCTTGAACTGAGGATCCTCCACAGATGTGACCCAAATGGCTAGGGTCACCGGTCAGTCCGGCAGAGATCAAAGCAGCTCTCCTTCAGAGCCCTCAGTTCCTCAGCCGGTCCTTTCAAACAACAGCTCTCCGTGCCAGAGCAGAGGGAGAAGAGGCCAGGAGTGGGCAGGGTCGGGGGTGGCCACTCACTTCCTGCCAAGAGGACATGAAAGCAACTCAAAAATGTTCAGCAACCTGTTTACCCTTAGACTTCTCAACCACATTTAGCATCTCCAATCACAAAATAGTAATATATTGCTTAGCTGTTTTGGAAAAGCATTTTTCAAAAGCTAACTCAAGAGTGTTGGAACGACCTTAAGCAAAGCCAATAGAGGAATTAGAAACCTAATTTCTTTAAAAAAAAAAAAAAACAGAAATTTTAAATCCTTTATTAAACCAATTGAAAATAATTTCTTAGTTAATATGTTTTCATTATTTTTGTTGAAATTGATTTTTATACAATATATTCTGTTTTGATTTCCCTGCCCTCACCTCCTCTCAGATCCGCCCTACCTCCCCATGTAGGGTAGAAGAGCCAGCCAAAGAAATACATCCTGACCCTGAAACCAGAACCAAAAGCTTAAAAAAGGGCCAGTGAAATAAACTCACTTTGACCCTGACCAACTCGGGACAAAAACCAACCAATCCCTGAGCAGGAAAACCAACCAATCCCTAAGCACAAAATCCAGCCAATCTCTGAGCTTGTCCAAGCTCAGGGGTTGAAATCCAACCAATTCCCACCCCAGAAATCTTCACCCTAGAGAAATTCTGCCCCTAGAAGCCTTTTAAGCCCTGTACCTGTTCAGTTGGGAGCTGCCTTTTTCCACCTCGGCAGAGGCAGCCACCCTTCTGGATTTTTCCCTCCCAATAAATATCTTGGAAGAGGTTTGGGTGAAGACCTTCTTTGGTGGAATGGAGTGGAGCCGAGAAGAGAAGTAGCAGCTCTTGCCCGAGTCCGTGCAGAATGGAGCAAGACTGTAACACTTTCGCTGGGGAACCTTCCGCCGACGGAGCAGAGTTGTTACATTGGGGAAACCTTTCCCTGGAACAACGCTGTAAGCTGACAAGTTTATGGTGACTTTGTGGTATTCTTTGGTTCCCAACTACCAGGATCCCTTCCGTCTGAGCTGCACTGCTTAGATCCCCGCATCCATCTCCATGTCTTCTTTCTCTCTCTTTAGAAAACAAACAGGTTAAAAAACAAACAGTAAAGAAGGAAAAACAAAAGGTGTAAGAAACACATACACACACAGAAAGAGACTCATGCCCCCACAGAAAACCCAGAACAACACAAAATCATTTCTGTGAGCATAATGGAGACTGGCTGTGTCCCATCATGGTTCAGGTGGATGCTCCTATTTCCCAGATCGGAAGTTTTACAGCCCCTCCCAACCCCAAAGCAAGCCCTGTGTTAGTGACTCTCAATTTCACTTTCTCCCACTTCTCCTGGGAACATTTCTTATTCCATCCTCATCCCACTACCCGTATATCTACACAGATGCTCACATCATATCAATGTTTTCTCTTAGCCATAGCTATTCATCTCTTTCTTCCCTCCACTTCATTAATCCCAATTTAGTCCTTGAAATTTGGCTTCAAACTCTAGAACTGTATACAGACTAAAACATTCTTTTCTCAAAGACGCTAACATCTTAACAATCAGACTCACCAGCCTCATTTAGTACTCCATCCCAGCAGCCTGCCTTCCTACTTCAAAGGATCCTTATCTTATTCTCGGGTTCTTTGTGCTGTTTCCTGCCTCCTATCTGACTCTGAGGTTCCCTTTTCTCCCCGTCCCTCTTGAAGGCTCTATTTTCCTTTCTTGTCCTAATATCTAAGATACCATGCCTTGATCTACCAGCAGGCTTATCATCCTGGGTCTTGTTCCTTAGAAGAGTCTTTGAAAGCAATAGGTCCCTAAACACATTAGTTCTGACTCAAGCTCTAGGTCCACACTTCTACCGTCTGCTGGAGACCTCTAACTACATACATCACAAATGCAAGCTTCATATCAAGCTATTCCTCTCCTGGACACCAGGAGGAAAGTCTAGAGATCATCTTCAGTTATCTCCTCCTTCCCACCTCCTGCAATGTGTACAGTGTCCTGTGTGTTCTTGTACATTCCCAGTATCACAATCGTTCCAAAAAGCCAAGTAATGGTACCTCATAGTCAGTCTCCTTACTGACCTCCAACAAACCATGTGTAATGCTTCCAAAGCAACCCCTGAAAATACTGTTCTTTATGGTGTCACTTCTGTGGATGTTGGGCTTGTGTGCTTCTCACATGTTCAGGGGTCAGGTGACTGTCAGGGATTTAGAATGACCCTGGATCATCTCCCTTGTTTGTCACACATCTGCAGAAAGTTAACCCATGACAAGAAAGAAATGAAGAAGAAGAAGAAGAAGAAGAAGAAGAAGAAGAAGAAGAAGAAGAGAAAAAAGAAAGAAAGAAAGAAAGAAAGAAAGAAAGAAAGAAAGAAAGAAAGAAAGAAAGAAAGAAAGAAAGAAAGCAAGCAACCAGCCATGGAAGTGGGCTAAGGAAATGCACGTGCTTTTCAAGCCCCTGCCTGCATCGTGCTTGGTAACAGTCTGTGAGCCAAAGCAGGTGGAAGAGATGAGCTCTGAGTCAGCTGGGGAGGAAACTACCCAGGTACAGCACAGAGGCCACAGGAACAAAGAGAGGTCACTAGTACAACCTTCTGCATGTTGTCCTAAAAGGTGTTTGAATTTTTGTACTTATACACATCACCATTCTTTTTATCACTGTTGGTATTGGCCTTAAAGGACTAAAAATGAAAATCAGACCTGGTGTAACATAGGCTATCCGCAAACTTGCTATAGAGTTGAGACTGGCCTTAAATTTCTGATGCTCTTGGATGTCTCTCCCGAGTTCTGGAATTATAAGCATGCACCGACTGTCATGTCGTTAGTGATTAGGAACTTTAGAGTACAGTAATTGCATTTTATTGTTGCTCTATCCCCTACAGCCATTAGCCAAAAAATATACACCAAGTAGACACTATCAAATTGTATAGCATATCTCTAAATCCCTCACTTATAAATTATTATATATATTGTACGTAATAACTCATTATATGTTCAGAAGCACTGCATTTTCTAAATCCTTTTCAAGTACACTTATATACTAAATGTATAGACATATATTTTGTGCAGCAGACACTAAACATATTTCTATAGATTTATAAACATATATTCCGATATGTTTAATTTCTGCTGTGCAAAATAATATTTCTTACTCACTGCCTAAACACCCCTTCTTTAAGCTCGGCCAAGTTAATTCTCATGTCCAAAAGAATAGTAAAAATAATTTTCTCCCACAAAATTTTGCACATTTCAGACTGGTCCTTGTTCTTCCCAAAAAGGGATTTCAAATTTGTCTGACTTTCTTCTCTGTCCTCTCCTCTGAGTCCTTATCACCTAAGGAGGAGCGATCAGAACTGCCCTTGGGATCTCAGGGGAAATGCTGTGGCCTGGTTTGATCCTAAATGTCATCACAGACCCAGGCATCACGTGGGCAAGTTAAACCAAGACAGCTTGTCCCTGAACTCTGTCCACCACACTGCCTGCTCCTCTGTTCTCTGTGTATCCTCTCACCCTGTGCTCTCTCCCGACCCAGGCTTCTCACCTAGATACCCCACTCAGGGAGGTGGCCTATCTAGGTACACCAAGGAGTCCCCTTTGCCTCTTCTTCCTTTTGCACTCCACATTGGTCCAGCAGCAATTCATATGAAAACCCATCCAACATCTCAACATCTCATCTTTGTTGCCACGCCGACTGTCCTGGTCCAGACCAACATTGTTTTGCATTTGCACTATGAGAGTAGCTTCCTACACATTCTCCTCCGTCTTGGCTTCTGCACTATAACCCAAATACAAACCTAACTATCAAAAAGCTGCTCAGATTCCTCAGTGGATTCCTCTGACTCAGATTAGAAGCCAAGGTCTCACAGTAATCTACCAGGACCAACATGATGCTCCTGGCTCCCCCACCCCCGTACCATCACCTACTGGCACCTTCTTGGTTCCCTTTGATGCAGACACAATGGTCCACTTGCTGCTCTTGAACATTGTGCTGTCCCCTTGGTTCCTTACCTTTGGTGCCCTTCTGACTAGAATATACTCGTCACACACACACACACACACACACACACACACACACACACACACACACAGACTCACCAGTTTTCTGTTCCAATGCCATCTTATCAGAAGTCCTTCTCTAACTACTCACTAGGAACAAACTCTGTTTCCCCATCTCATCATTCTGTTTCCTTCCTCTTTGACATCATATATTAATTTATGGACTCATCATTTGTCCCTCCTACTAAATTTTAAGTGGACGGCAACAGGAGTTTATCTGTCTTACGGTTTTATTCCCGGAGGCTAGAATAGACTCGGTGTACAATGTGTGGCTAACAAGCTCTTGGATCAGGTAGCAATGGTCTAGTCAAGCTGGTACGCACGCATTGGCCCAGGCTCACTTGATGAAATGTGGGGGTTTTATTCTCTCCTTTTCTCTAGTTCATTCCTCAAAGCTACTTAGGATTTACGTCTGCCTGTAACATTGAGAATCTTGAGGACTATTTTAAAGAGATCAGTTTTAGATATTGGCTGTTAAGGAGAAAAGCAAGAGAGTTTCCATCCTGGTTTCTAAATGAACCATAAATAATGTGCATAAGAAAAAGATAAATTTGCCTATTCTTGCTGGGGCCCTTTGCATATGTCTAAGTGTCTAGTGGTAACACCACACACTTCTCTAACTGTAAGGAAGCACACACCCATCTGACCTCTCAATACCAAACAGGTACCAACTTTTAAGTATATATATCTAGCACTGTTTTCTGCATATCTTCTAAATCATCGCACTCTGAGGACAGACTGGAGCTCTTGGCCAAGTCTGAGTGCCACTCACTAGAAGAGCGTTATCATCCCACAAAAAGAAGGACAAAGTCATCTTCCAAATGCCACCAGAAGGCCTTCAGTTGGACCAGCACCATGTATTTCAACTTTTTTTCAATTCTGCTCTTCTTTTAATTGTGATTTATATTCACATATGAATCGATGGCTTTCCAACAGTGTGTTATTACACCCTAAACAGTAGAGCATGGCCTTCTCATTGGTTAACAAAATAAAATGAGTCTACATACTGTTACGAGGAAGTGTATCGATTCACCTTGCAACAATCAAAACAGCAGGCCAACAACAAGGAACTATTGCCTGTTTTCTGAAACATGTGAATCTATTCGACATCGAGGCAAAGGGAATACCTTTACCTTGTCGTCAAACCTAGACTGGGCTCTGAAAGACAGGTACATGCTGCGCTCTTACTGGAATTACTTCTGCTAACACTATAAGATGATTCATCATAACAGAGATGATGGTGTCCTTTTGATTTCCAGCCTCTAACAGGAAGCTATGGGCTCTAGTGGAAGACCTAGGGGGTAGACAGAAATGGTTATTTGAGGATACAGAGGAATCTTCACGCAAGGATGGGTCCTGCATCCCAGAGGCAATTTTTCAAAGATGAGTAGTCACAGAAACTTAAAGCAGCCCTAAATCAGATGTCTCCATTAGAGAACTACACAAGCTTGGAAATTCCCCTTAGTTGGTGTTTTGAATCCCTTAGAACGCCTGTACAAAGGAGGATGACATCAAAGCTTGGGATTTCTAAGTGTCCCTGAGCCCTCTCCTCTTTCAATTATGGTAACACTGTTCTCTTTCCTCTGAAGGTTTCTGTCAGAACCAATGAATAATGCCAAGGTTTCTTAAAGATGTTTTGCTTCATGTATTTTCTAAAAGAAATAGATGTGGGTTTCCTGTCTCTTTCAATCAAATTCACTCAAAATAGCAGCGCTTGCCAGGCCCTGAGGTTGTGGGGAAGGAAGAAGGGAGACAAGGAAGAAGGTACCCTTGTGAATTGTTCCCCACAACTGATAGTTCTCCGTAACAATTGTTCGTGCAAAACAAAAGATCACTTCAGAAAACCAGCCAGCAGGAAGAGGGAGTTAGAAGGGAGTTCGAATCCGTTTAGAGATGAAGACACTTGAATTTGCTTGAGCCTAGTTAGGTTTCCTGGCTGTTTCATTTGTAACATAGTATTAGTAAACAATGAAGTACAATGTAAGTAAAATGGCGGACATAGATACTATTATCC